TGTCCCATGCACTTCACGACATTTAGCAGCCCTGACCTCCAGGGCACTAAACAACAGTAGAAGCTTCAAGTATTACAATAACCAAAATTTTAAAAAAATCCTATCCAACTCCTAGACATGGGGTGGTCCCATGCCTGTTAAGAATCACCATGGGGTTAAAAATTACAAGGTGTTTTTTTTTTCTTACCTACATTTTTCTATTTTTTCTACAAAGACTAGGCATTGTTTTCTGAAAAGGAAACTATGTTCACTGTTTTCTTTTTTTAAAGAACTCAACAGGATAGAATAATTTGATTACAGCTCTCAGTAAGAGAGCTAAGTCTGCTCATGATAGTGAGTATATGACAGGTGACCTAACATTATTTCACGGATGCTATAATTCTTTCTGAAGTCACCAATAACAGGAAGGTGCAATTAACTCAGCTTCTGACAAAGCACTTTAATTCCTCAAATACTCGTAATTGTTACAAGATCACAGCATCCTACAAGTCACAGGTCAAGTACTGGATTGCTTCTAGCTTGTTATAAAACTTTAAGCAGAAGGAAACAACCACAATTTGGTTTCAACACAATGTTACATTGGCACAGCCCAAAGCGTTTGAGGAGGTTAGCTACTACCACTCACTCCTGTGGGAAAGCCAGGGCTAGTGATTTTGACAACAGATTTGGGGAAGCACTGTGTTTTGTTCGCTATTGTTTCATTTCTCCTGGGTTCCAGCAGGAAGCCAGAATCTTAGCAATTCTTAGTAATTCTAAGTAATTACTAAGTAGTCTTAGTAATTCTTTGTCTCCGTATTTTTTTTCCAAGGCAGAAAGTAACAGTTTTTGGGGGGGGGGGGAGGCAGTTCTATCCTAATCTCAGGGCAGGGAAAGCAATAGTCTGAGAGCTACTTCCCTGACCTCCATAAAGAGCTAGTGGTGCGGCATTGTATTCCCTCCCAAGAAACCATCCACAGTAAGTCACATCCTGATTTAGACATTAAAACACGAACAAAGGGGCGCCTGGGTAGCTCAGCTGGTTGAGCGTCTGACTGGCTCAGGTCATGATCTCATGGTTCGTGGGTTCGAGTCCAGCATTAGGCTCTGTGCTGACAGCTCAGAGCCTGAAGCCTGCTTCAGATTCTGTGTCTCCTCTCTCTCAAAAATAAACCTTAAAAAAATTTTTTTTAATGAGCAAAAAAGTATCTTACATTAATAAAGCATATATCACTTAAGTGATCCTTCACACTCTTTATTTTAGAAATTCTTCTAATTTAAAAAAGTATTTTTCATTTAATAGGCTCATACTATTGATATTAATTTAAACCAGCAGAACTTTAAAGCAAGAGAACTTCAGAGTATGTAACACTACCCTTAAAGGTGTATACTTTTTGACACACAATTCTACTTCAAGGAACTTTCCCTTGAGAAAAATCTCTGGCTAAATGTGGGAAAAGGGGCAAGGGGGGAAGATTGCTACAGCACTGGCTACACTGGTGAACCCTGGGAACATGCTAGTTTTACAACAGAAAGCAGAGGGAATCAAATGCAACAGAAAACTGTAATAATTGAGAGATCCAAGATCCTAAGAAATGCTTACGGTGTGGTAAGTGAACACAGCATTTCATGAACCCATGGGAAAAATGATTAAGAAAATGCATGCATAGGAAAAAAGTGTAAAAGGAGTTCCAGGAAAAAGAAACAGAAAATGGAAAGGTAAAAACTAATCCTAAAAAATCCCCTGACACATACATGGTTTTCCTGACTGAGAGAACACACCAGGTCCTGAGGACAACAGAAGAAAATGGGCTCAGACGAAGGCACAGTGTTGTGATCCTACAGATCTCCTGGGAGAAAGATCCTACAGGATTCCAGAAAGGAAAGAGAAAAAGGATGAGGAATGGAAATTTATGAAAACAAGAATCAGAATAGTTAAAAGATAATGGAGGAATACTTTCAACATTTTGAAGGAAAACAATTTCCAATCTAACATTCTTTGCCAGTCAAAGTATTAATTATGTGTAACAGTCAAATCAAGACTTTTTTATTTTTTGAGAGAGAGCGCAAGTGGGGGAGGGTCAGAGAGAGGGGAACAGATCGGAAGCAGGCTCTTGGCTGACAGCAGGGAGCCCAATGGGGGGCTCTAACCCATCAATCTGTGAGATCATGACTTGAGCCAAAGTCAGATGCTTAACGCCTGAGCCACCCAGGTGCCCCTCAAATCAAGACATTTTGAAAGATGTAAATCTCAATTCACACAGGTGTCCATTCTCAGGAAACTACTGGTCGGCGTGGTCTCCCCACTAGAAGTAAGGCAAAGCAGAGGACAGTGGTCAGGAGAAGCAGGGGATCCAATGCAGGAGAGAAGGGGAGACAGCAAATCTCCATGGTGACACGTGACACTACCGGAAACCCCATGATGTCAGCTGTCCCCAAGTGAGCAGGCCAGGTGAGAGGAGGTCAGAGGGCTGACCATGAGATGTCCCTGATAGAATCCCAATGTCTCTCAGCTTCCTGATAAGAGATCTGGACAATTAAGGTAAAATGAGTGACTAAATAGCTAGAGAAAGAAGAAATGGAAAAAGAGAAAATTACTAACTCCAAGGAAACAAATTGGGCATGAAAAGAAAAGTGCTCACAGGCTATTCAGTGGCTGGGCTCTGAGCAGTGTTTACAGTGTCCTGAGGTCAACAATGGCTATTGACTTAGCCCAAAATACAGTAGAAAGGAAAAGTAGATGTATAACAGGGGGTGGGGTGGGATATCTAAGAGGTGGTCTGACAGTGCTAAAGGCTCATCCCTCAGAGGGGGAAGTTAAAAGACAACACCTACAGTTGGGGGGAAAAAATCAAGGAACACCATTATAAACATGTTATTTAGAGCCTTAAGAGAGATTTGAAAGTGAATACCTCTAGGTATAAAGACAGTGGGGCAAACTTACAATTCTAAGACTATTTTATTCTTTAAAACATGTGTACAGTTGTCAAAAATAAAAACTGGGCACCTGGGTGGCTCAGTCGGTTAAGCGTCCGACTTCAGCTCAGGTCATGATCTCACGGTGCATGAGTTCAAGCCCCGCGTCAGGCTCTGTGTTGACAGCTCAGAAGCCTGAAGCCTGCTTTGGGTTCCGTGTCTCCCTCTCTCTCTGCTCCTCCCCCGCTCACACTCTGTCTCTCTCTCAAAAATATATAAAAATTTAAAAATTTTAAAAAATAAAAATAGAAACTGAACTATTGTAGCGATAAGGGTAATTTTTCTTACATGTGTTTCCATCTAAAAAAAAAAAAATTTACTGACAGGTACCTGAGTGGCTCAGTCAGTTGAGCATCCACCTTGGGCTCAGGTCATGATCTCACAGTCCGTGGGTTCAAGCCCCGCAACAGGCTCTGTGCTGACAGCTCAGAACCTGGAGCCTGCTTCAGATTCTGTATCTCCCGGTCTCTCTCTGCCCCTCCCTCACTCATGCTCTGTCCCTCTCTGTCTCTTAAAAAATAAAATAAAACATTAAAAAAATCTTTTTTAATTTACTGAAATTTAAAAAAATACATGCCCAAATATCAACAGTGGTTATTTCTAGTGACAGGACAATGGGCCATTTGCATTTTGCCCTTCACTTTGCTGTTTTCCGAAAAAGTGTGGAACACAGAGCATATGGTCATAAATCGCAAAACAGGAAGCATTTTACTTCATGCTGTCCAAATCTACTCCCAGGTAGAAGCCCCCATCTCTGACTTTAGTTTCTGTTTGCTCTGCTGGAGGGGGGGTGGGGGGGAGCCTGCCAAGTACTTCGTGCACACAGCAAATATTTGCTGAATTCCTATAAGCCAGTCCCTGCAAGGTGATTCCAATACCTTGGTGGGGAGTTTTGGTGGTGGTGGGTTTTTTTTGTTTTTGTTTTTGTTTTTGTTTTTTATGGGGGCTCCTGAATTCCTCAATACCAGCTACAGGAACTAGGGGTGGGGTCTGAGGATCTGGAGGGGCAAGTAAGCTACCAGATGTACACAGGTTTTGTCGGGGGCTTCTCAGAGCCACCCTCTGAGTCTTCAGCCACGTCTATACCACCATAGCTCACATTCTCTAAACACACATAAGCTGGATTTCAACTCCGCACATTTAAATGAACGTGTGTGAGACAGGACGGAAAGGTGAGGCAGCTGGGAAGGGGAAGGATGCTCCTTAGCAGTCAAGAGCAGGGCCATGGAGTCTGGCGGGCCCAGGGTTGAATCACAGTCCCGCCCCCCCACAACTCCTCCCCCCACCGTGGGACTTCCCCTCTCTATGCCTCAGTCTCTTCCCACGTACAAAAGGATAATAAGTGAACACAGCATAGGGCTGTTGTGTGGACTGCACGAGGGCACAAGACCAACCCAAGGTCTTGAGGAGACCCTGGCACAGGGTGAAGACTTGGTGGCCGCCACCAGCTGTTCACAGGGCTCCCTCCAGCCAAGAAGGGCTGACTTAGAAGAAATCACGAGACCTCTCAGCCTCCGTGTCCCATGAAGGCACATGCCAGCCCTCCTGCCCAGGAATGCCATGGAGGAGGCCTTCGGGTCCTCAACGGGGTGGCGGCCCTCAGATTTTTCTCCGTAAAAGTTTCTTAATTCTTCTCAATTTTACTACCAGGGAGGTAAATTCGCAAAGAAAAAAGTCCTCTCCTCTCCCTGAGTTCTGGAAAGCTTTGCTTTCGGGGAGGAGGGCATCCACATGGAGATCAGGTAAGGAGGGCATCAGGTGTCCGTGACGCTCACTAACACAAACAACGCCCACCAAGCATCCGGCTCCCAAGACGCGACAGGACCACCGGAGGGGCCCAGCAAGACGGGGCCCTGGCCGGGCAGGCGCCCTGAGCGTCACGCGCGCGAGGTGACCCGGCCTCGCTCGGCGCGGCGGTCTCCGAGCGCGGAACTCCGGGGAGGCGGCGAGCCGGAGCGGAAAAGCTTTCCCCGGCGGGCGTGCGGCGGAGGCACCGCGCGCGGGGTCCCCAGCGCCCCCCGCCCCGCCCCCGCGCGCCCGCCACTCACGATCTCCGCCACGATGAGGAGCCCGGGCAGGGTGCGGAGGAACTCGCGGTCGTAGGCGAAGCTGCTGCTGCTGGTGGAGAAGTTCTCGGCGAAGGAGCTGGCGGTGGTGGTGACGGTATGCGAGCGGGCGCGCTGCGGCTCCTCCATCGCCGCGTCTCGGCCTGGCGGGCCCCTCCCGGGAGACACCCCGCCTCCGGCTGGACGCGCGGCCGGCAGCCCCCGGGCCACCGGGGACGGGGGAGGGGAGCGCGGCAGGCGCGAGGAGGGAGGCGCGCCGGGGGCGCCCCCCGCGGCCGGTCCCGCCGCGGCGCGTGTCGTGCGAGCGCTCGGCGCCCCCCTCCCGCTCCTCGTTGCGGGGCTCTCGGGCTGCGCCGGGCCCCGGAGGAGAAGGAGACCGCGCCGGGGTCGACCGCCGGGCCGCCGGGAGCCGCGGCTGAGGCCGGGAGGAGGGGAGGGGTCGTGGAGAGGGGCGGGCGCGAGGCGGGCGGGAGAAGGACCGCCCCGCCGAGGCGCCGCGGGTCGGCGGCCTCATCACCTGTTGCTGGGGACCGCGCGGCCGCCGCGTCACGGCCGGGGTCGCGAGGCGGGCAGCCCGGGGGGCGGCGCGGAGGAGGGGGCGCAGGGGTCGGGGGCGCCCGCCGCGGCCCGCCACGCCCAGCCTCCGCCCCGCCCCGCCCCCTCGCGCGGGCGGCCCCGCTGACCTGTCTTGTTCCACCTGGCGGCCGGGCGGGGGCCGAGCGGCCCCGGGGAAAGCGAGGCCCCTGGCCATGACCGAGGCCGGAGGGCGGGTGGTGGTGGCTGGAACGCGGGAAAGAGCGGCCAGAACCCTGACCCGGTCGGACCTTAGACCCGAGATTGATGCGAGGCCTCCGCGACTGCCCGGGAGCTGCCTGAACTTTTCCCCCTCCCGCTGCAGCCGCCACCAGAGGCCGGTGTTATTTCCTGCCCCTCCTGTCGGGAACAATTTGAGGAACCAACTTAATCGCGAGGGCAGGGGCGAGACGCTTCCAGGCGCTGGCGGTGGCTCTGTCAGGGATCCGTGGGGTCTAGGTGACGGCGCCTGGTCCGGAGAGTTATTTGGGGTCCCTGATCGAGACCAATCAGCGTGACCGTCCCGTCCCCATCGGAAGGAAATGTAAAAAAAAAAAAAAAAAAAAAGGCTTGGAAAGTATGGGTTGTGCAAAGCGAAGTTTATGACAAACGGGCTGTGCTTTCCTGGGATGGGGGAGGGGATGCGGGCGCCCGGCTTAGTGAGACCGCTGGTGAGAGGGTCAGGCTAGACCTGAGCTTCAACGTGGCACCTGCATTTCTCAGCTATATGACCATGAACCAGTTGCTCCACCCTCTGGGCCTCAGTGGTGTCATCCATCTTTAAAATGCAGGCTTCGATAGATGGCCCCTGTGCCAAAAACATCTTCGGAGCGGTCCATTCTGTTTTGCAAAAGGTTGGCAAGACACGTATTTTACTCAGAAACCACCAAAGAGAAAGGAATAATAATTTGGTCACAAATAGAGGATTGCTTCCAGGTCACAGAAAAGGCATTCCCTCTCATCTGCTCTAAGACAGGTTAAAAAAAGAGGTCAGAGGGACATTTTATTCGCTGTGCCCTATCAGGTGAGAAGCTAGCAAAAACTAAATCTAATAAAACAAAACAAGGAATTAATTTAAGTCTAGAGCCTAGTCCGGAAAACCTCGGCGACGAAAAGTTAAGGCTTCAAAAGCATTATAAAGACGAGGCTTTGGAGAACTTCCATCCGTGAGCATTTACTAAGCACCTTGTGCCACCGGTGGATAAATACAACAAAAGTTAAAATTAGCCACTCTCCCCTAGAGCAATGGTTCTCTCCTGTAGGAATTTGTAAGATATGAAGGTTCTCAAGCCCCACCCTAGACCCACTGAGTCAGAAACTCTGAGGACAGAACCCAAGAAGAAGTAGTGTTTGAACCGATCCTCCAGGAGACTGATAAACACGTTAGTTGGATAATTGCTAGTTTAGAGAGACTGGCAGTGCGGCTGGGGAAACGGGTACATGACTGAAATGGTTGGTAAATGGTCTATGGCATCACGCGTGACATTTAGTAAATGCAGGAAGACAGGAAGGAAGTCTAGACAACTCTATTTCTGTAATACAAAGAGCAATTCCTTCTCAAAAAAAAAAAACAACTCTTGGGGCCAGGTGGATTTCAAAATTCAGATTTTTTTAAACTTAAAAAAAAGTGAAATACACACATACTGTATATTACAGAGCTCGGTGAGGTCTCAAGGGGCACTTTAATCCAATGCAGTGATCTTCTGCAATAAAAATATATGAATGACATAAGTATGTGTTTGGGTTAGCTGTTGCAGTGTAATAAACACTTCCCGGGCATTAGAGGTTTAAAATAACACCCATCGTATTTGCTCATGAATCTGTGGGTCAGGAATTTGGGCAGGGTTTGGCTGGCAGTTTCTTCTGCTCTGTGTGCTGTTGCTTGGAGTCATTCACGTAGCTGCTTTCAGCTCATAGCTGGGCAGCGGTCGAGAGTCCAAGAAGGCTTCATGGACATTCTGCTCACTCCCATTCTGGCATTTCCGTGGCCCTCTATGTAACCTCTCTCCCTTCATGAAACCTAAGTGTCCTCACAGCATGCTTAGGCTCAGAGTAGTTGGACTTCTGCATGTCAACTGACTTCCAGAAGAGAACATTCCAAAAGGGGCAAAAGCAGAAGCTGTAGATGTCTTGAGGCTCAGCCTTGAGAGCTACACAGAATCATTTCCAGCACCTTGTATTGGTCAAGGCCAGTGACAAGAACAGCCTGGGAATATAGATACCTCCTGGGGATGGGAGAAGCAGAAAAGAACTGTGGCCATCTTTTAATCCATGAAGTAGAGTAAATAACGCCCATGAATAGCATCACATTGGTGCAGGTCAGGTTTTCTATCAAATACATTTCCTGCAAATGTAAGAGGAAACTATTAGTTTTCAGCTTTTCCGATTCCAGAATTGCAAAGAAGCAATTGTATACTGGACGCTGATAGGTGGTCTGCCCCTTTCCAACTGCTGCCTAAGTTCAGGTGCTCTTCTACTGCCTGGAACCCTCCTGAGTGGTATTCCTTCCTCCAACAACATCTCATCCAATCTCTCCTCCTTCTTCCTGCAAAAATTATCCTGAAACCCCAGGCTCAAAGCCCAGCTAGTGCCCACTGTGCACATCGTAAGGGCTTCCATACAGTGGCTTGACCCAACCGGTCCGCAAGGCTTCCCATTCCAGCCCCAAACACCTTCTCATAGGTCTCTGTGGGTATAACCACTCTATGCCCATAACCAGCTTTGCTCTCAGCCTAGAAAGCTTCTTAAACCTTCACCCACAGCTTGAAATCTGCATCTTTCAAGACCCACTTCAAACTCCACCTTTTCTGTGATTTCCTCTGGATATCCATAAAGCTTGTTCTTCTTTGCTTTAGAATTCATTTTGTGCATAAAATTGATTTTATGCACTTCTCTTTTCTACTTCTTTAGGGCTTATGGATTAATCTTTTTGGCCTCCCCTTGCCATAGAGTTATTGAATGGATCCTGAAACCCAGCTTTATTCTTAAGTGCAGAAAAATATCAAAGAAAGAAGAGGTAGGCCCTACCCTCCCATAAAAGACTTCATGCAGAACACAGCTTCGAGTGGGGACTTGTGGGAAGTGTATAATTTTTAAAACCGGAGGAGGAGGTGAGCAAGTGGTACATCATCCCAGCCTACAGGAACAGCCCAAGTGCTATCTCAAGTCCAAAAGGAGCAGGCCAGAGGGATCTAAGACAATCTCTGCGTGGAATAAAGGAGATGTCAGGTGTAGTAGGGTGGAGGGTGTTTATATAGAATATAAAGTATGGTTTCCATAAGGCCATGTCACCCAACAAGCAAGTTATGAGACATACAATTCTCAATGGTCCATGGAGCCCAGGCCATTCCATGCGGACCTAGGGCCATCAATACTTTACTGTTAAAGTATAGTTGACATACAGCGTTATATTAGTTGCATGTGTGCCACATAGTGATGTGACAATTCTATACATGGACTCAATGCTCACCACAATAAGCGTAGTTACTATCTGTCATCATATGTTATTAGACTATTATTAACTATATTCTCTGTGCTGAACTTTCATGTACCTGACTGACTTATTTTATAATTAGAAGTCTGTACCTCTTAATTCCCTTCACTTATTTCACCCATCCTTGCACCCATCTCCTCTCTGGCAACCACCAAGTTTTTCTCTGTATTTAAGAGTCTGGGTTAATTGCTTGTTCTTTTGTTTTTTTCCTTAAATTCCACATAATGAGTGAAACCATGTGGTATTTGTCTTTCTCTGTCTGACTTCCTTTACTTAGCATAATACATTAGGTCCATCATGTTGTGGCAAATAGCAAAATTTTTGCTCTTTTTTATGGCTGAGTAATATTCCATATTCATTCATCTATTGATGGAGACTTAGGCTGTTTCCATGTCTTGGCTCTTGTAAATAATGCTGCAATAAACACAAGGGTGCATATACCTCAGTTAGTGTTTTTTGGGTTTTTTTTTTTTTTACATAAATATCCATTAGTGGAATTATGGGATCATATGGTAATTCTAATTTTAATTTTTTGAGGAACCTCCATAATGTTTTACACAGTGCTTGCACCAATTTATATTCCCAACAACAGTGTGTGAAAGTTCTCTTTTCTCCACATTCTGGCCAACAGTTGTTATCTCTTGCCTTTTTGATACTAGCCATTCTGACTGATATGAACTAATCTTTCATCGAGGTTTTGATTTGCATTTCCCTGATGATTAGTAATATAGAGCATCTTTTCATATGTCTATTGGCCATCTGTATGTCTTCTTTGAAAAAATGTCTATTCAGGTTCTCTGCCCATTTTTAATTCGAATTCCGTGGTGTGTGTGTGTGTGTATGTGTGTGTTTGTGCGCGTGCATGTGTATTGTATACATTCTTTATATATTTTGGATATTAATCCCTTATCAGATATATGATTTGCAAATATCTTTTCTCATTCAGTAGGTTGCCTTTCTGTTTTATTGATGGTTTCCTTTGCTATGCAGAAGGCTTTTATTCTGATATAGTCTCAATAGTTTACTTTTGCTTTTGTTTACCATGTCTGAGGAGACACATCCATAAACATGTTGCTAAGGCTGATGCCCGAGAGTTTATTGCCTGGGTTTTCTTTCAGGAGTTAATGGTTTGAGGTCTCACACTGAGACCTTTAATGCATTTGAGTTTATTTTTGTGTAGAGTGTGAGGAAGTGGTCCAGCTTCATTCTTTTGCATATAAGCTGTCCAGCTTTCTCAACACCACTTATTTAAAAAAAAAAAATCTGGCTTTCCCCCTTGTATACTCTTGCCTACCTTTGTTATAGACTGACCATACAAGTGTGGGTTTATTTCTGAGCTCCCTATTCTGTTTCATTGATCTACATGTCTGTTTTTGTGACAG